GCGCTCACGTAGCGTAGTAGGGAGGGCAATCGGTGCGACGCTCGCAACGAGGTGGGTAATCCCCGGAGTGCTCATGTAGCACTAGGGAGATGAAAAATAAGTATCTCCAAACGCTCACGTAGTGCAGAGGGGGGAAAGAAACTGTGCTCTTTTAATAACCAAAACCCTTAAACGCTCATGTAGTGGACGGGGATAAAATAAAAAAATATGCAACTGCGGTGGCATTTGACACCTACCTGAAGCGCTCATGTAGCATCGAGGGGAAGGTTGCCTCTTGGTTTTTCCCCTAAGCGGGGAAAATGCCGGGAGGCTGCCAAAATTTCCACTGAAACCGATGACTTGGACAATTTTTTAGAACTTAATTTGAACATAAAGTTGAGCTTAAATGAATTCAAATCTAATTGAAATTGAACACATTGGCTCGAACTCAAACTCAAATGAGCTAAGTGTGGTGGACATTAAACTTGAACAAAACTCGGACTGCAGGGGACATAGAACATGACTCGAACAATTTGAACATGCAAGTGAACTTGATTGAACGCAGGGGACTTTGATTTGGACTTGAGCTTGAACAATAGAACAAAGGACTTTACTTGGATTTGAACTTAACTTGAATATAACAAAAATAAATATTCAATAAGGAATTTGAATGCAAATGCTAATACTAATTAAAAGTTTCTAGTCACTCATATAAGCAAACAAGTGCTCATGTGTAAGAGATTCCTAACTTGTCACTCATTAACAATGAAGTTAAGGTGACATCAAACTTTTATGAATTATTGAAGCTAATGAGCTTAGTGAGACACCAACAAGTATGAGTGAAAAAAGTTGAACATGTCTCACCTACGAACGATGAAAGTGAAGTGACAGAAAATACTACTTGATTGCCAATGTTGATCCAAAGTTCTCTTCAATGAATATCGTTGTGATGTCGATCGCCGGTGATACTATAAGACCATTAAATTATCCATGAGCTAGATTCAAACTATTTATATTTGCAAAATCAATAGAGTCAATTGAAACGGAGGATAAACGAAGAATGCAATCTATTCACAAAAAAAGGTTAATTGGAAAGTGCAATGATATGATTGCAATTAAAACATGAAACTTTAATGAGATATCAATGAGCCGTCACATTGATTGGAATAAAAATGTTATCAAGCAAATTTGTTACACGAGATTTGAATCTTCTTTACATAACAATAAAACATTTATAATTGTCAACATGGCTCGTCCACAATTAACAATCAATAGTGGTTGTAGAGAATGTGGTGACCTACTTGCGGACAACAATGGTTAGCATACAATGAGTGTAATAATTTTCCAACATTCGACAATCAATTAGCTTGCAAGCAAAGGTTGAAGAAGAACAAGAAAGAGCGAATGACTCTTAAGCACCACAAAGATGAAAGGAATTTATGATGAATATACGAATATCAAGTTCAAAGTGACATGTAATCCTTCCGCAGTCAATGCTAGTTGACATGCATTCAAATCTACAATCAACAAAGTTTCTTACAAACATACACAATGCAACGCATTTGAAGCACATACGAGCCCCTACGAAATCAAATGCACCATACCTGTAAGAACAACGAATGGTTGCAGAATGCATACGTTTGTCCTATATGCGTTATTGAGATCTCCAACACAAGCAACAATGCCTGTAGATTGAGATGGCAATACTATCCCTTGGTAGTGGAAGACCCGTCCCTATAAACAAGCACGATCATCATACCACCTGAGATTGGGGAAAGGTGGATATGATGCAAGGACAATGGTTCTTCAATGAACACTCCCAAGAGTTCGTAATAAATACAACGGATCCTTACAAATAAACACGAGCTACTTGTGGATAACAACAATGGATATGTCATAAGTATAACGAACCCTTGTGGACACAAGTACAAATATCACCTACAAGGCTACAAGAATGGTAATTGAGATTCGCAAGAACGTCGGGTATGAAGACAACTCGATGTAAAAAAAAAAGGCATTTCCCAGTAGGACGAAAGCAATGTTTGAATAAATTATAATTAAACTTCTTGGTGTTCCAAAGTTTCTTCTTGGTCCTATCCTTAGGAAGAAAACAGTTCTGGTATCCACAAACATCGAAAATAACAGGTCTGCTATACTGGTGATCTTAAAAGGAGTTCTTTTCAAAGCTGCAGCCACGAATTTCAAGAAAGACCTTCCCGTGAACGAGAAAGGGGAGTCAACATCAAGATGATGAAATGCCTCATAACATCCAGATAAAATTGCCATCTGATCCGGAACATCCATGCAAGCGGACAAAAGGCGTTTACAAATATTTCAAAGTACCCCCGTACATGCACCATAGTTTGTATACACATAGGTACACTAAAGGGGTAAATACAATCACGACATGCATGGGCCCCGACGAGCGTGTTATTGGTACACACGTGACGTTTAGGGATGCTGCGCGAGTCAATAAATTTGAACCCGATCCTCCTAAGCAAGAAGTCAACAATGTTGAATAAATAATCATAAAATGCCCCCAAGCACCCGCATTGGCCCTAGCGAGAGTGTTATAAGTAGACACGTGACGTCTAGGGATGCTGCGCGGGTTAATAAGTGAATTCAAGTTCAAACCCGATCCTTCTATACGGATCAATAGGAGTCGACAGGGTTCAAACCTTCAAATAAATACACGGTTGTGACGACCGGTGTATTTATTTTAATACAATCATATTAGGCCTTCAAGGCCTATAATCAAGAGAATTCACTAATAAAGGCATAAAGCCTACGAAACCCAATTCTCTTAAGCAGGTAAATAGGAGTAGATAGGGTTCGAACCATCGGATAAATATGCGGTCACAAAGTTGACCGAAATATTTATTTTATACATTCATATTAGGCCTTCAAGACCTTTTACAAAGAAAATTCACAAACAAAGGCATGAAGCCTGAGAAACCCGATCATCTATTGACAGCTCAATAGAGTTGACAAGGTTCATCCATAAAATAGAGATGTTTTCAAATGGAAATGACTTTAAAAACACCCCGATGGTGGCCATGTTGAATGAAGAGCTAAATCGGAGGGGTTCATAAATAATTTCAAAATGCCACTCAAATACCTACGAAATTCAAAGCTCCAAAGAGTCCAAAATTCCAAAATCTTCCAAAATCCAAAATATTTAAAATTGAAATTAAATCATCAACCACTTAAAATAAAATCCATTCACCCTCCGCAACAGTTTACCGAGGTGCACAAATTAAAATTTAGTTAAGCTCACAAAGAGCTAATGCATAGTCGAGAATATCACTAGGATTCATTCTCAAATAATCTACTACTAGTAAAGACGTAATACATGTCCTCTAACCGGTGTTTTTGCCCTCTAACAGGCGTTTTTGCCGCCAAATGGCACCGCAGGATAAAAGGTTATGACCAGTGGCCCTTTGAACCTAGTGATTTTGCCACCAAATGACACCACGAAATACCGGTTATGACTAGAGCCAATACGTTTCTTAGTGACATAAAATCCTTGAGATATGAATCAATAAAATATGATCGATAGGGCACAAAGCCCTATGTTAGCTAAGATGGGTTCAAATTTGTCCTCTTAGACAAATATTCACCTCAGGTCTACAAAGTACCCTTGGACGAAGCAACCCATGGCTGCCGACAAGGATCCTTCTGTCAGGTTGGGTCGACTACCTCCTATGACTAAGTAGACCAAGGACCACGATGGTCCGGGACAACAGAACCATGGTATCTTGATCGGGTCTATCATTCATTCTCCCACCATTCGCTTTAAGTGCAAGATGGTGAAATTTCTAATTTTAAATATCATCCAAACTCAATGCTGCTACTATATGCCAGATAACACGTATTCTGTACATATCTGATTGACGACTAGCCTTAATCGAAAGTTCTCTCTCGTGATCGGAAGGGGTAATTAACTATAGGGGCTTGCGCATATAGGAAACTATAACTCAGATTATAAAGTCCTCACAAAATGAGGGCGAAATCTCTGGGTAATGTCTTATCTACAAAGTACAAACCCATCTACCTTTCAAAATTTATCTCGGAACTTAAATTCGTTAAAACTCTCTTGCCGAAGAGAAAGTAAACAAAGCGGGCGGAGGCCGGGGTTTTGGAGCCCACAATCGAATGGACCGGTCTAACACAAGGCTGCTCGGTTCTTCTCCCTGGTAGCACGCAAGTTTGGCGCACCTGCAACCTTATGTTCTCTCTCAGCCATGTACAAAAGAGAAGCACCGAGCTTTTCTGTTCTCTGCAACATCAAAAGAACAAGCACAAGGTGCACGCGAGAAGTAGCTTCCCCAGGTCACATGAATAGCAAGCAGCTCTCTCTGTTGTTTTCATTCTAGGTATCAACGCACGAAGAGGCAAAATGAAGAATGTGCCGATCTTACCCCCTTAATCTCTCATGGTTGGATGGCTATAAGATGCAATCCTTGCAATATCCTTGAGAGTTCAGCACTACTGCAGCGACAGTAAAATGTGGAAATAGCTTGAAGCTGTGGGCATTTCAATTTCATCCATTGGATGTAATTACCCGATTTGGAAAGGATTTGAAAAGCTAAGGAAGGCTAATGGCTGAATAGGATGGGCTGAATGGGACATTGGGTTCAACTTGACTCAATTTAGTCCGAATTGGCTTGATTCAATAAATTGAGTCAACAAGCATGCCCTTCCAGAAGATACATATTAACTAAGCATCACCAATTTGGTGTAGTTCGACAAACATCCTAGGCATATTTGTAGACGTTAGAAGTCATTAATTATCTTTTGCCTTTTTTTGATACCTTCCGTTTTGATTTGACTTCAAACTTGTTACAGAAATATCAAAGTAGTCCTTTTATATTTTCATGATACAGTTGGTTCATAAAATGAAATGTTGATATTGATCTGCAAATTGATTAATATTTGTCCAAATCATTCTATTCATTCTAATTGTTTTTTCTATCTAAATAAATGTTTTTAGTTGAGATTTCCCAGACTGAATATTGCAGGTGGTCCTTGACTTGGACGAGACTTTGGTATGTGCATATGAGACGTCTAGCATTCCTTCTTTTGTTCGTAAACAGGCAATTGAGGCTGGCCTGAAGTGTTTTGAACTGGAATGTATATCTGGAGAAAAGGTTTGTATCTTTTTTAATTATTATTTGAATCTATAACTATATTGTTGATTGCTTGGATGTATATGATGAAACTTTGCTTAAAAAATTATTGTTAAAGGATGTTGAAGGAGAAGCGAAGGTTAGTCATGTAACTGTATTTGAACGTCCTGGTTTACGAGAGTTTCTGCAGCAAATTAGTGAATTTGCTGATCTAGTTCTTTTCACCGCTGGTCTTGAAGGTCAGATATCTAAATTAATGCTTACTTTTGTTTTTTTTTTTTTTTTTGCAGTCCTCTTAAAGGTTCCACCTTCTGAATTACTGGAGTTACTATCAATAAATGCTGTTTCAGGTTATGCTAGACCACTTGTTGATAAAATTGATGTTGATAACAAATTTACTCATCGTCTTTACCGGCCTGCAACTGTCAGCACGTAAGTCAAGCATCTGTTTTCATTTTCTGTGACGATTTATGGAGCTGGTTGCCTACTATTGTTTCTGTAATATTTCTTCAATTATCCAGTGCTTCCATGGAATAGTTTAATTTATTCCTTGTTTTGTGATATCTGATATAATTTGGATGCATGCGCTGGCTGTTATGGATGCAATCAAAGCAACCCTCATTGAAAAAAAAAAAGAAAAATGACGAAGGTTCCTTTCTTAATGGTATTTCTAGAGCTTTTGAACGAAAAATTTATGCTCCTTTTCTATGGCTGGGTATGACTTTCCAGTCTGACAAACATGGGCAATTGCTTGTGTGGTTTGCAGGCCAATGACTTGTATTATTTTTTATCATTAAATTGGTAAAAGAAGATTAAAAAAAAATTTTAATAAGCGCTTCAAGGTTTCAAGCTGCATTTTAAAACATCCGTGTTTGAGCATAAATATCTTCTAATTCAGGGACACAAACCTCTTTAAAAATTCAGGACTAAGTTTGCGTATATGAGATCCCTTTCAGACATTCATTAAAAAGAGAGAATAAAGCATCTTCTAATTCATGGACATAACCTCTCAGTCTGCGTACATGAACCCTTTCTTCATGACGTGCATTGAATAGAGATTTTCATGCAAGTTACTTTAAAGAAGAAAGAGTTCTTCATCTATGTTATTTGACCTTGATCCATCTCAATAGCAGTTTAAAGGATGCCATTTATAGTAACTACTTTTGTTAAACAGTAATTACTGAACCAAAGTTTTTGACTTAAACGTGTCCTCTATATAATTTTATGATCTGTACTCCGAGTCCAAATTTTGTTACCGTCATATTCTTTTGACCTACATTTCTAACTGAACATACGTACAAAAGAACACCTATTTGGCAGTGTTATTTTTGGCCAAATTTATAAGCTTAGCAGTAGTTATTTTTGCCTGCTTAGATCTTAAGCTTGTGAGGATTATATAGTACAAGTACTTATGATCTTAATTTTGAGGTGAAGACATGCTTAACATGCAATCTAGACCTGTCAATTCAATTTAGAGCTGTAATTTATACGGTGGCATGAAAATGTGGGCCTTTCAGATCTTAAAAAATTAAACATGTGCTCTAACGCCTAGCTTGTGAGCATTGGATAATATAGTATAATATCTGAAACCTTGTATAATGAGAATTTCTTTTTTTGATCATACTCAGGAAGATATCCACTATGAAGAATGATTTGTTAATTTTCTTTCATACTCAAAATATAATAAGGAAGGCATTTATTATGTTCCTTTAAATTCAACTTCAAATCACAAATAAAATCTTGCTGTTTTTCACTTAATACTAATACTTGTTGCGGACAACAAAATTTTGCTATGCCAAGCATCTTTTGGATGGATAGTGTTGAGAGCTGTTCACTTATCACTTATAGGTAATATTACCTTCAAGACATTGCATGAGATGACAACAACTGAAGAAATGAAAGCTTTTTCAAATGTGTGTGAGAGCTATCAATTATGAATATAGTATTTCTTATAAGAATTCTTAAATATGAGGATGGCAGAAGATGCTTTTGCTATAAAACAATCAATGAATTGTGTTTGATCGCAAGTCATTGACTTTGGGTTGTATTAACTTTAATGATGAAGTTCGTACCTTGTGCCTATTGGTGTCACTTTTGGAAAGCTAGTGTATTTTGAAGCTGAAGTTCAGTAATTTTCTGAGTTTAATTTTGAGTTAGGACTTATGGTGATAGAGACTTGGATGAAAGATATTTTTCTTTTGCTTAAAATATCGAAGATTGTAGAATTATAAAGGGGGTACACTCGGTTCAAATTTCAAAGATGCTGACAATACAATCAAAGAAGAGGTTGTACAAAGGTAATATCGACATATGCTTGCAGTGTTGAAAGACAGGGCACGGCACATGAAAAGGAATCGCATACAAAAGAAAGTTGATAAAATGTTTACCAAAATGAAGATTCGGTGAATACTATCATAGAAAAAAGTTAGAATGTATTGAAGCACAGTATTGATAGTCCTATGGAATATTGGAGACTAAATCCAAGATATTTTAACTTTTCTTCAATAAATTGCCCATTTCTAGTTATTATGCAAAAAAAATATGGGAAAGTATATCTCTTTTTTGATTGGACCTAAAACATTGTGGGTGTTGGTGATATTTAAATCAGAATTGGCAATATAACTATATAGAAGCTTTACAAGGCAAGACATTCTAAGAATGAAGCGGAATCTATATATCTATAAGGCAGCTTGATGAAGAAGCATATAATTTACCTTTTAATGCTCTTACTTGGAAGATATGCAAAGTGTTATTAGGGCGAGATGTGGTAATAAAAATGGGACATTTATTTGAACATTAGAACAATGGGTTGACAACATATTGAAATATTGATTTATCCATATAGCATTCAAGGCGCTACAGCGCTAGTACTTATGAATGAGAAATGAATGGACATTTAACATTCTAAAGAAGATTTTCAAATTTGAAACTTTTGGATTATGCATGAATTTTATACTTGGAAGGTAGAGAAAAGCTAGTTTTTTCGATGGCCTTAAGGGAAGTTAAACTTAAAATTAAAGTCTGTAGACACTATTGTTTGTGGGCCATCTCCAGTAGCATTTTTTATGGCTCTCTTTATGAGAAAACCTTCTTCAATAACTCCACCGTAACAGTTTATATTTATTCTTCATTTTGAAGATACAAAAGTTTAGTGGAGAACGAGTCTGGGGCAAAGAGTTTCTAATATTAGATAATTGAGGAGAGAATGACACTACGGAGTTCAAGGAATTTTCCACAGCTATTGGAATATGAATATAGAGGATAATTCTAGGAACTTGATATTAGAATGGGATTATCAAGCGCATGATAAAACTTTAAATGTAAGAGTTAGAAGCATGAGGTTTTAAAGAGGATTGCGTTTGACTTTTTAGTGAATGTCATAAGCATTTCTTTATGCTAGAAATTATCTAAAGAAGTCTAATTTGGTTGGCAGGTAAAAAATTTCCTCATTTAAAATTTTTTAGTTGTACATCTTATGTTTATTTGTTATATATTTGTAGAGAAATGAATATTACAATTTATAAAATATTATTTCAACGGACTTGGAGTTGATAATTTTAGCCCCTAGATTATTAGGAATATTATATTTGATGAAACTATCATATTGTATAAAGACACATCTAAATATTAAGAAGCAGACCTCCTTAAGAGAATAGGTTAAGTTTGAGGAAATTTCTGAAGATGAAGTAGAAGAAATTGGTCAGGTAGTTCCTAAGGATGTTGAGAAGTAATCGGATATAAGCACTCTTGTAAAACAACTGAGAAATTTTAAGAGAAAGTTTATGTTAGCTTATTGATATTCTCCTACTTTACATTATCTGATGCTAGAGGCTTTAGTTTCTGAAGTTGTCATTAAAGAATTTATTAAATGGGAGGTAGTAATGAAAGAGAAGATATATTTTCTAATATAAATATGTCGCTAGGACATCAACCTAACTACTAAAGGATAGAAGTGTACTGCCAAAAAAAAAAAAAAGATTTTGAAGGTCAAAGAAAAGCACAAAGCAATAAGAAGTACTAAGCAATGTTTTTGGTAAAAAGATTTTAGCAAAAGGAATATAGTAAATTTAATGATATTTTTTTCTCTTATCAAATTAACTATTAGATTGATATTGCTTATAGTAACTTCAGATTATTTGTAGCTTGATTAATCATATGTTAAGTTGGCTTTTCTTTATTGTAATTTGGGGGAGGATATATACATGATGCAACTTGATGGCTTTGAAGTCCCTAGAAAAGAAATTCTTGTATGAAAATCAAATAAAACTTACATGGTTTAAAGTAGGCTCCTCAACAATAGTATTATAAATTTAATGGGTTCATGCATTCAATTGCTTTGCGAGATTTATTGTATATCATTGTTTCTACATCAAAGAAGCTAATAAGTCTTGTTTAATATTGCTCTTATATGTAGATGACATGCAAGTTTCAAATTTATAGGAGCATGTGTTAATGAGACTAAGAAACTAAAGTAATATTTGTCGAAGTAATTTGATATGAAGGTCTTGGGAGAGGGGAAGAAAAGCTTGGGATGAGAACTACTCATGATTGATTAACTAATATGTTGAAGTTGTATTAAGAAGATTATATTAATAAGGTATTAAGCATATTTAATATGCTAAAGATGAAATTTGTAAACACCCCTTCTCTAATGGTATAAAAATAATGAGTTATATATATATAGTCAAGTTCATTATGCTCGATAATTTGTTCACTAATGTATGATTTGTGCAGAAGACTTAATATAGTTCATGCAGTGAATTATGATATGTCAAATCCAAAGAGGGAACATTAAGGATTTGTTTTATTTGTAAAAAAGGTGTAAAGCAATTCAAATATATGGGCTTTAAAAATATTAGTGTTTTATTTGAAGCAAGAGGAGTGCAGGGTAAAGTTTTAATTAATTCTAAACTCACACCATAGGTCTTTGTGATGTACCCAAAAGTTCGTTGATTTTGTCAAGCTATGTATACATTGCAGGCCTTCACTATTGCCTCCATCCATAGCCATCTATCCCCACCCCCACCTAACATTGTTTGCCACTCACAACTACCATTGACAGTATAGTCATCACCACTGGCCGCATATCTCCATCATCCACGACTATCAATTGTTGCCAGGCATTGCCAACCACTGCCACACTCGTCAGCCACATCGCCCACCACTATCGTCGAGCTTTGCACTGCATTCATTTTATTTCAAATTAATCACAAAAAATAATGTTCTGAATTTGTTTTATAATGAACCAAACAACTAAAATATATTTCAAATTCATTGTATTCCTTGAACTCTTATATTCAAATCATTAAAGATATGTATGCAGGAGCTGTTACTTGTGTTCAAACACAAGGTGGTTTGACCTAGTATTTCCCTATTTCGGTTGGGTTACATCAAGAATCAACCTTAAGCCCATATCCTTTTGCTTTAGTCAT